CCGGGGGCAAGGCGCTCACGGCGGCTGCCTGTGCCCCAGGTACTTCGACTACGTGTTCGGCTCCTCCTGGCGGCGCGGCCGGGGAAGGGCGGCGGCGGCGGCCGAGCTCGCGCAGCTGCAGGTGCTCATCACCTCCCCGCAGCACGAGTGCGACAGCTACCCCAGCGCCACGTCCAGCGAGGCCTGTGAGTACCTGGCAGCAGCCTCAAGACCGCCGCCCCGTCTCGGCAGCGGCAGGGGTCGGAGTCCGCGGGCTTCCCGCTCTCTCGGCTGGCAGCCTGTGTGCTCTGCTCAGTGTCTGCTTCCCGCTCCCTCCTTATCAACCTGTCCTAGACATGAGCCTGACCTTTACCTTGACCCCAGAGCTACCTGGTGTGTCCCCAGTGGCCTCCCTTGTTCAGGAAGACTTCTAGTATTTCATGGTGGGCCAAAGCCCACGATATTTTGGCACACCCAATAGGTCCCTGTCACCCAGTGGCAGAGAGCAGATCCTGAAAGGGGAGAGTCAACTGGGCATGACCAGGGGTTTTCACCCTGTTCCCCTCACTTGCAGCCTCCAGCATTTAAGGTCTAGGAAGTTCTCATTGAGGCAGTGCCCCTAACTCCCATGCTCAGTAGCAACGGATGCCCCCTTTTTCTCCAAGAATTTTCCAATCCCTTTTTGAATCTGGCTAAACTGTGCACTTCCACAGCATCTGGTAGCAACAAGTGCCACACGTGAATGACGTGCTGAGTGAAAAAACTTGCTTGTGTTTGTTCTGAACTTACGATCTGCTAGTTTCATTTTGTGACCCCTAGTTCTTGTATTGTGAGAGAGCAAATCATACCAACCTAGTTTACTTTCTCTTTGCTATTTAGTCTTTTATAAATGCTAATCATGTCCCCCCCTCAAGCATCTCTTTTCTGAACTGAATAAGCCTAAGCCTCTTGAGTCTCTCTTCATATGAAAGGCCCTCCATATTGCTGATCATCCTTGCTGCCCTTCTCTGAACCTTTTATGGTTCTTCTGTCTCCTTTTTTTTTTTTGAGGTGTGGGGAACCAGAACTGGGCAATAGTATTCAAGGTGTGGCTGCACTATGAATTTATAAAAGGGGCTTGATAATACTTACTAAGCTACTCTATGCCACACACAGGCTGGGCTGCCTGTGGCCCAGGTGCTGGAGACTGGCCACCCACGAGTCAAAAGGTGTAGCCAACTTTCAAGAAGGACAAAAAGGATTCTACTGAAAAGCCTGCTGCTGTCTGCAATCACATTTCTCTTTTGACAGCTCTAAACAACCCTTCTAGACTCGTGCAGTATTTTTTCCCCACCTCACACATCACTGGCATGTAATTGCAGCTTATTTGAAAGCCTTGTTCTACGTAATAATAAGGTTTGTGGTGTACCCACCCTCTTAAAAAAGGCCTTGGAGATGTTTCCCAATGGCAACACCAGGTGACTTAATTGCTTTATTTATCCTCCCCAACCCCACTGATTATTATTTTTTCCTTCCTACTGCTTACAATAAGCTAGTCCCAGCTATAGCATGTGACTTATGAGTTTAATGCCCAGGTAACCAGGCTAGTACTTGTAATTTTTTATGATGCTTGTTATGGCCCCTTGACTATAGTCCCTCTAGTAACCATGACACATCCCCAGATTTTGATTCTGCATTGTGACCTTTAGAAATAGTCAAAACACTATCCTTCTTCCACCTTCCACAGTCTAGTTTTGCATCTTATATTACAGAGCTACCCATCTTTTGAAGTAATGAAGATGAAATACTGTATTTAGCTGAATATAAGATGACCCCTTAATAATTACATCTGGTACATGGAAAATTTACACACTTGTTATAATTTTCCATGTAGAGAATCTAATTATTGGAAGATTATCTTAAATTTGTACCCACCCCCCACTGCAGGTGGTGATGGAACAGGCAATAAGGGGGGTAGTAATGGGGCAGGTAGTAGAGGGACAGACTGGGGGAAATAATGGTGGGGCAGGTGGTGAGGCAGCAGACATAGGGGGGGAAGTAGGGGCAGGCAGTAGGGGGACAGGTAGTGTGAAGGCACTAGGGCAGGCAGGTAGCTTGGCCCTTGCCACCTGTCCCTCCCACACTTACCTCTCTTTTGTGCCTGTCCCCTGCAGCCTCAGGCCCGTTTCCCCTGGTACATTGCTCTACACTGTTTCTGCCCCTCCTCCCCTTCTCCTGTCTCTACCTGGCCTTAAGTCTCTGCCTTTCTACCTCCCCTTTACCTTTGCTCCAGCACCAGCAGGCTACATTCCCCCACTGCAGCCTGAGGTACGGAGCATGGCTCAAGCCTGGTCCCGTAGCAGCAGCATGGAGCTGGAACCTCTGCTATGCAGTGGGGATGGGGCCATGTTCAGTTCTCCTGGCTGCAGTGAAGATAGGAGTCTACTGACACCAGAGCAAAAGTAAGGTGGGTGGGCAGAGAATCGAGGAAAGGGGGCTTGGGTGGGAGACAGGGTGGCAGGGGCATGAAGCTGTGATGGAGGAACAGTGTGGGGTGCAAAGGCAACTGGGGAAGCAGCTGTGGCTCTGACCTCTGTTAGGCTTTTCAGTATTCAATGGGTTGCTATCCCGTTAGCATAAGTTGAAGAATTACAAGTGTTGAGTTATTGCTTTAAAAATGTTTTGGAGAAAACAAGACTTTACATTAAACAAAGGAAAGATGGCTAACTGGTAGCAGTCATGCTACCAAACTGAACCCAGTATGGATAGTATTTTTATAGAGGGCGGGCATATGCTGCTCATTTACTGTACTAGACAATGCTGCTGAAACACCCTTGAATTAAGAAGCAGTATAACTGACTCCACATTATACTGCAAGCAGTGCTAATAAGCATTGGGCAATGCTTGGGAAGCAGCGCGGGATCAGTATCACATGAAGATGATTACACTGTTTTTCATTTGATAGGTGCCATGCACAGAGTAGGGTAGTATATTTCTGCATGCTTAGTATAGTAAGCAAACAGAGAGAGCATAAACTTAAGGCCTGTTTTAAGGTAAAACTTTTCTATCAGTCTAAGCAGTTGAGATTTGGTATCACCCTGGGGTTAAGGAACTCTGTCTGAGACATCATTCTCAACTTCAGTCAGGTTTGTACAGTACAAACTTGTCATTTTAACTTTGCCTTGCTCAGGTGGTGTCATGTTTAAGTACTAAAACACATTAAAACACAATATAAGATCTGCCTTAGAATTTTACCAGTAACATCACTTATGTTAAATGTTTCACTTTTTACTTTCAACAAGTGAAAAAAAACCCAAATGTCCCTGGTTGGACTAGATGATCTCGTGAGGTCCCTTCCTGCCTTTCTCTATGATGACAAACCTATGATAGTCAGTTTACAAGCTGATTCAAAACTACTACTTCCTGGTGGTGGGTTTTTGTGGGTTTTTTTTGGTCAGTTATTTTTACCACAATCAATATGACTTGCAGACTGAACTTTTAGAAACAGTCAGAACTCACAGTGAACAGAACTTAGACAAAAATATTTTCCATTACAAATAATGTGAGGCTTAATGTAAATGACTTTGCCAGTCTCAACATTTGACTTTCCTCTTATATAGATATCTAGAAGTTACGTTAAATGAATCACAATTAAACTGTATTTAGTAAACTATATTTTAGTCACTCACAAGACTTTAAACAGGTATGTATTTGCTGAGAAACCTTTACATTTAACATAAATGATGTTACTTTAAGTAAAATATATATATACGTTATCTTGGTACTCTTCAATTGGACTTGGCACAAAGATTGATTATTCAGCTTAGATTTCCAATTGTAATTACCCTTATCTTGAGATAATAGTCACTGTTCCACAGTGCATCAACATACTTATCTTATTCTGTTTATATTCTTGCAATACTTTCATGAGACAAGTCTTTTAAAGATGGAGTTGATAAGGTAATTATTTGTGATGTGACTTCGGTTTAACAAACAATGGTCAGATGGCTGTCTTGCGCATAGTATCTCCCATTCAAATTTTTGATATGGGAATCAATGTGTTAAATACCACAGGGCATTGCTGGGTAGTGTGGCTTGCTTCCTCCTTGTCAGCTGACCTGGGTCATTTTCTGGCCCAGATTTCATGTAGCACCTTTGTGAGCATTGGCTCTCTTTTCTAGTGATGAAAATGTCTTGTTATGGCTTCTTCCAGTTTTGTCTAGAGAATTCCAGTATCTCTGTACAAATTCTCATGCCCCACAAGTTTGTAGGACATTAGAGCAGTGTTGGCCAACCCACAGTAAAAGTGGCACAGGTACCCACTGTGTTTGGCATGTGACAGATCAGAGGGTTGGGGCAGGAAGCAGTGGCAGTCAGTGAGGAGGTAGTGATCAAAAGTCCATACTGGCTTGGGGGCTTGGACCTGCAGGATCTGTGAAAATAGATGCAGCCAAATTCAGTGTTGCCATGTCCCAGTGGTGATGGGATTTGGTCACACTGGGCAATGGCAGTGGCTGATTAGAGTGTCACTTTTGCCAAAAAGGTTGGCCACCACTGTATTAGAACATAAAATAAATACCTGTTGGCTTAGCTCTGGTGAGCAACTTAGTTTCTCTGGCTACTTTCTGTGGGCTTCTTTGGGGTACAATTGTATGGCCAGCTTTGCACTACTCCATTTATTTTTTTGCATCAGAATGTGTAGCTACCTGCAGAATCTTCTATTAACAGGTATTTTGTAAAGCCTTTCATTCTTCTACATGGTTCTGTCTCTGTTTAGTAGCTCATTGTGCAACAAGACAAAGACAGTGGACTCATCTGTTTGGCCCGTCTCCCAAGAAGAAATAAGTGGGTGAAATAATTCTAAGCAGTTAATCATCTGTACCAATATGTGATTAATTTCTACACTTTACTGATGCAGTTAGAAGATTGGCAGTTGTCCGAAGTTTTCTATAAAGTCTTATGGAGTCAGGCCTCAGTCTCATGACATTTTAGTTGCTTCACCTTTAAAAAGTTATATTTTGTATTTGTTTAAGACAAAGGAAATATTCTTTAGAAATACATCTCTTTGCTGAAAATGCTTAATCACCAACTTCAAATTACAGTAAACAACATGGCTTGAACTATTTGCAGCCCTTTGATTAGGCTGCCTGGGTAATGAAGCTTCCTCATATTGAAGGGTAGTGTTACAGAGTGCACTTAGATTAGCTTGAATTTAAAGTATAGCTTAAATTTTGAAGCATCCTTTTTTATAACATATCCTTTTAATATTGTATCACATAATATAACTTGATATATCAATATTAAAAGTGACAGGCATAGAGCATATAGGAATGGAAGCTAGTCCATATTTTAATAAGAGTGTATGGTTAGACCTGACAAACTAACTGTTACTTACCATATCTTTCCTTGTTGTGAAATGGAGGAGTAGGATCTATTGTTTGATATGGTTTAGTGGTTTGGCTTGTGTAAGCATCTTGCACGGATGCAAAGCTCTGTGCAGGTTTCCCTCTCAGCACTGCTGCTGCCCACCCTGCCCTGCCCCATGCAGATCCAGGGGCACATGTCCCCCATGCCCTTCTGGGGTGCGCACAGCAGTGGGAGCCGCCCCACACGCCCTGGACAAGCCATGGCTACATCCAGCCCCGGCTGGGCAGCGCCTGCGTCAGCCCCTGTCCCACTCCTCCCTCACTGCAGGGGCCTTTCCCACACCCCTTCCCTCTCCCTTATCCTTCCACCACAACAGACTTACCAGCTGGATGCAGCTCTCCACGTTGTATTGGAAATCGGATCAGTATCAACTGATATCCCTCCTTAAAAATCAGATATCAGTATTGGCCCCCAAAATCTGTATCACTGCACTCCTAGCTGCCATGCATTCCTGTCTATCACCTGCCACCTCTGCTCTGCACTGCCTCTGCTCCCTTGCCACCTGTTTCTCTCCTCCTTCCTGCCCTGCCATTCCAGTTTACTCTGAGTCACAGCTTCAGCTCCAGCCCAGGCAGCAGTGATAGTGATGGCTCCAGGCTCGACTCCAGCTCTGACACAGCGGCTACAGCTGCCACTGCTGCTGCTGTCTGGTCAGGCAGGGGCCAGAGCCAGCATATGTTGTGTCCTAGGCTGCAGCTGGAACTCAGTATATCCTGTGGTTTGGAGGAAGGGCAGGCATTGGGGGATACAGGCAGCAGGGCACACAGGTCCTGCAAGGGGGCACAGGCTTTGTGGGGAAAGCATCATTGTGGGAGGTAAGTGGCTGGTAGAGGACAGGCAGTAGGGGGCATCTGCTTCTCCTTCCCATCCACTGCTTTCCCCATTGCAGCAGTGAGGAGGGAACGAATTTACAACAATCCCCCCAATAATCAGATTCTATGCATGACAAATTGTAACAAATTTATACATTTTCCTTATGTAGAATCTAATTATTGGGGCGGGGGGGTGTTCAAATCTGAAATAATCTTAGATTCAGATAAATATGGTAAATGCCAAACAGTGGTAGGATTCTACCATTAAAGCAGTCGAGGTCACAATTGAAAGTTGCTACACAAAAAAGGATAGTATACGTTTAAATCATATCCTCGCTGCCTGTTAGTTGCTATTTTGAATGAATAACCTGTATTTTGTGACTCTTCTTTCAAAGATAATTTACATGTAACGGGACCTGTAGCTATATTGAAAGCCGAAAAGGTTTGGGGTGCATTAAGAGGTAAGATCACTTTTGACATTTCTCCTCTATCATTTTCTCAATCAGATGATTCATATTTGCATAATTAAGACATTTAGAAACAAAACTGCAGTCCCACTTAACTGAATCTGAACTGAATCCAGAAAGTGAACATTTTTGAGAACAGTGATACCAGAAATGTTATCCAAACTACTAGACTTTTTCCACTGAACTGGGAGTTTTTATGGTTCTGTAACAACTATTCCTTTGCTAATGATTGAAACTAGAATTGGAATTGTCATTACTGTACTTATCTGCCAAATAATAGCATCTTAGTAGGATTTTTGTGTTACTTTTGAGGGCTTCCTTTGTGTTAAGAGATGAATCTGTTACAATTGAGCTACAATGCATTTATACATACAATATTGTATATAGAAATTTTGTTTTCATCTTCAGGATTAATCATTCTTTTCCAGTGTTTCATGTCAGTCTACACAAAGACCCCAAATAATGTAGAGAAGTGCATCTCAAAGGATAGCTGGGCTTAAAATAGAATAACTCGTCTGGGTCTTGTATTGAATTCTGCTTCTCAAGGAAACACTTGTTACTAACACCTAATGTGGTCTTTTTAGGTCTGGAAACCTTTAGCCAATTGGTCTATGAAGATGATTATGGAAGTGTGAGTGTAACAGTCAATTAAAAATGCACAGTTTTGTTACCACTAGCACTCCGCATAGGTATTTCTAGAATAATCTTCTTTTGGTTTCTTTTATTGCTCTTGGGCTATGAACAACGTTCTCCAGGAGAACACGGGACATTTTTTGGGGCAAGGTATACATTTTGTTTTGATGCAGATTATCCTTCAGAGAGTATTCTATACACTTTCAGCACTATATAAATAACACTTCTTTATTATACTCTATCGGGCATACCACATGGACATAGACATTTACAGAATACACAGTAAAACCTTAAAGCTTTATCCTTTCTCAGCATGCCCTAGAACAGTGCACAAACGTTCAGATGTGTTCTTGTTGCTTGTCACAGGACTAAGCTGCCAAAATGTTTGCAGAATAAAAGGTACTAATGGTTTGTGCCATACTTATGGTGAAGGACATCTGAATGGTTGTCCTGCAATATCATGGGACAAGCAGGCTAATCAGTCCTCCAGGCATTCTGCAATGCACTGTTTTGGCCCCAAATCCAGCCACTCTGGCCCTGATCACAGAACTACAGTCCAGAGGTGACAGGCCCCGGGTGGCCACCCTCACTTATTTATTGCCCTAATGGCAACTTGCCACCACATCCTACTTGCAACCCACTCAACATTAGAATGAGAGCCTGCATCCACTTAACCAATCACCAGGGACCTCCATCCATCTATCACTTGCTGCACTTTAGACCTCTATAGCTCCATGCGCGCATCCGTCCTTCCTCTATCATGGCTCCTCAAACCAAGTGCAGTGTCATGAGCATCATCTTTCTTTGTAAAATACTCCTTTGAAGTAGTTAACTTCAAGTTAGTTAACTCTTACATTTGATAGTTCATTAATTTAAAATTGCATAAAATAAGAAACCTGTTTGAGCTGTGGTCCTATACAAGATAATACATGTTAACATAAGAAGGTAATAAAAATACTGTTAAAACAATTGTATCTTTCTGATCTTCAAATTCTGTTCTAATAATAGTTCTTGATCAATGAATCTGAAATCACTGATTTCCCAAGATTTGCTCACAGAGGAATCTTACTTGATACAGCAAGACACTACCTACCTTTGGAAACTATTCTTACAAACCTGGTAAGTTAGCAGTTTTGATTTAACAAATATGTTCCCCAAATGTCTGCCCAGTACTTATCGTACTGTTTATTGACAGACTTCACAAAAATAGTGTTAAATAGTGAGTAGCCATTCATTATTTTCAATACTTATTAGGAGAATCGATTAGTGCTAGAAATACAAGACCTTGTTCCTAATTTTAGCCAGGCAACTCAAGTCTCTTTACATAGCTGCCTCTGCCTGCATGCACACCTGGCTGTAATTTTAATATTTCAGTGTAAGAAATTGATTGACCATAGGAAAGGACCAGAATTTTAAAATGTTTGGCAGGGAGCGAGCACTAGGAACCTTGAGTGATTGAATTACTTCCATCTTTTAAAGAAACAAGAATGCTCTTCTCCCATGTTTAAGATGATATTTAATTTGAATTCATTACTAATCTTGTAAGAGCAGTTATAACTGTCTAATTGCGAGTGACATTTTAGATGCTCAAAGCAGCAGTCTCTTAACATACACATTTATCAGGCTAGGGAGTAAGCACCAGATACGTGAAGTACTGTAGTGCTTCAGCAAGGATAGTGGAACCAGAAATCATTTGCTTGGGGGGTGGGGGAAGCATTTGAAGGATAACCCACCATTCATTTCTGAAAAGTGGTAACTACCAGTTGACTGATATTTGTTCTAAGTGGATGATACAGGTTGGAGGTGCTGGGGCTGAGGAGAAGAACTGTAGTCCTCACTTAACTTGAGAATCAGTTTGACAAAAGAAATGCTTCTTGTTAACCAAAAGCAGGAAACCTCATACATTCTATCCATTTTTGATGCCAGGACTTCACAGTATTAACAAAGGCAATTTTGATTGTGTTTTAACAGAATAAAAGTGTCTGCCAGATAGATTGTAAATAAGGGGAAATGAAAAGGAAACAGTTAGCATATTTTGCACATATGGGTTTCAGTAGCCAAAAATTT